GGCTGCATCCCTCAGTCTCTGCCTGTCTTTGTATGGCCTCCTTCCCTTTGTGTCTGTGTCCAACTTTCTCTCCTATAAGGACACGGGGCATATTGGATTAAGGACCCATCCTACTCCAGTAAATTAAGACGTCATCTTAATTTAATTATGTCTGCACTGACCCCCAAGCCCAAATAAGGTCATATTTGGAGGTTCTGTAGGTTAGGACTTCAACATATCTTTTGGGGGACATAACACTGACTTTAGAGAAAATGGGGGTACACTCACAGTAAAGTAGTACATTTGGAATGATGGGAGTTCTCATACGTGTAAACTCAACTTAGAAATTGGTAGTGGTGTGAAGACAGTGAGGCAATCTTGGCAGTGGTATGGGAGAGGCTTTGCTTTCTCTCCTTACTTTTTGGAATCAGAGCACCAAGCCTGGGGCTAGGAGGATGTCACAATATAGAAGCACAGAAATGATGCCAGGTGAAAAATCCTTAGAAATGGGACATGTTCTGGGGGCTGTGTTCGCGAACTTGCCGTCCAGATGTAGAGTTTTCCAAAGGAAAACCACCACCAGGTAAACAGTGAGACAGCAGAACTAACGTGCAACCACTGAACCTGCCAGCTGAGACCAGTAAGTCCAGGCAGGTGTTGCCTCGTCTGAGATGAGGAGAGTAATAAAAAATGCGTGCAAGGCCTCCATGACTAATACTGCAGCATCAGAGCGAGGCAGGAAGGGAGTAACACCTATTAGACACAGAGGGAGAATTTTCCTTGGATAACGACCCGTATCTACCCTTAAGTTCCAGAAGAGAATGTCTGCCAAAGCTGGCATCCTACACAGAGTTGAGGGCATCAACTCTTAAGAAAAGCAAAATAGCGTTTGTGGAAGAACGATGCATTGACAGCCCAGGTGTGAATCATTTTTCTGTGTTGTTAAAATGGTAAGGCCCATTGTAAAGTTCCTGAATAAGAATTTGAAGAGTGAAGCAAGGAAACTGCATTTGAACAAGATGGTGCATAATTTTTACATTATATTCAAGTAAATAGAACAACAGAATAAGTAGAAAATGAAAGAAAAAGTAACAAATTAATATCAACATTAAGGTGGTTGATACTATTAGGGCAAACTGATGATGGTAAAACAAACAAACAAAATCTCTCCAGTATTCAAAATTGTTCCAGGGCATAGAAACATCTGGAGAGTGTTTCAATTCGTATTTGAAGATATTAGAATAATTTAAGATGAAAGCACATCAATCTTAGTTGTAACTATAGAAGAAAACCTCCTAAAACTATAGGAAATTTATTCCAGAAATGAAAAAATAATTGCATAATAGAAAAACTATTGAAACGATTCACCAAAGCCATGTCAAAGTCCCCCAACAATGTACCTTCAACTGGACAGTTTCAAGATAGGCTTTTGATAATAATCAACATCCATCACTCCTGATATGACTTTTAGTAAACTATAACTATTTATTGCAATTCCAGGGTCAACAATTTAACTGCTAAAGCACAAGAGGCCCTCTCTTATAAGAAGAATATACCCCACAGTTGATATTTATCTTCAGAAAGTGCTAGTCAACGTAGTACGACAAGAACAGTGAAATCTAAATCGAAATACTGGGGAAGATTTCCACATGAAATGACTGTCTGCTTAGAAAACCCAAGAAATAAACCTAAAAATATATCACTACATATAAAGGAGTTCAACATGGTAGCCATTTCCAATACTAAAAACACAAGTTAAAGGTCTGAACAAAAAACCCTTCTAAAATAGCAACCCAAATTATAAAACACCCAAAAATAAGTATCACAAAGCATATGAAGGATCTACCTAAATAAAACAATATGTTTCTGACCATATAAAAATACCTAATTAAACTATAAAAACATGTCAATAGGAAAAATACCATCTGGTAATGATTACAATACCACTTTATTTTTTATTAAATATATCCTAATTCTACTAATATGTTGGGGTAAATATGACCAAATGATACCAGATTTTATCTGGAGTATAAACATGTCATTTTAAGAGATGATGAGGGCAGATCTGCCTCAGCATATTATTCAAAACTGTATGGTTCTAGGAAAGATACAGAAAGCCTTCACTCAATTGCCCTATTGGATGGAGGTAAACTCAGATAAAGTTAGGTGGGAGGAGAGAGGTTAGAAGAACAGAAGAAAGGAAAAAACAGAGGAAGAGAGGAGGGAAGGAAGGGAGGGAGGGAAGGAGGGAGAACATTTGTATCTGGAAAAGGAGATACTAAGAGGCTATTTAAAACGAATCAAAATCATGAACAAAACTGAGAAGGTTAAACACTAAACTGCACTCAATCTATGAGTACTAGAGAACTGTATGGAGCTAGACAAGGTCCCAAAAGGTTCACTAATGCTAACCGACCTCGGTTCCGCTAAGAATTGGTGTTAGATCAAATAAAAAAAAGCACCACTCTGTATTATAAATCATAAACCTAAAGGACATTTTTTCTGTACCTGAGAGAAGACATGGGTCAAAAAGAGTTTTGCTTGTTTTCTGTTTGTTTTAGCTTTAACTTTCATAAGTATTTGTATCAATCGTACTTCACTGTCATCCACAATCCTCAGAGAGCACATTGACTGGAAGAGATGACTAGGTGAATTGTTTTAGTTCACATAATAATATAATTAGAAGGGAATTTGGAATTCATTTAATGAGAGACCTCACACCATGCAAAATTGTCTTTGCCTTTAGGAAAAACAAAAAAAACCCAAAACAATTGTTTGTAAGTAGTCATTGGCACATTTGCATGCATTGGAGAGGTCTCCCCAGTGATGGCCATTTCAGAGCTGGGTAACCTCATTCATGATTCTCTCATTTTTCTATGATTGGTTCTACACAAGACAGCATCACAGTATGAGTCATCTCATTTTAATAATGATGGCGGCCTCAATATGCAAAGAAAGCTATTCTGTTACTGCTGTTTCTTCATATTGAGATGAAACATTTCCAGCTCCTTAAACTGTTTCTCATGTTTCCCCATCCCTCGTTATATTGTGTAAGGCTGCAGACAATCTCATTTCAGTTAAAAAATGCACCTGTTATAAACCCAGTATTGAGCTCCATCTATTATCTGAAGAATGGACTCATGGTCTTATAAATTCAATAATTCTAGAAGGAAATCTACATGACCTTTGCTGAATTACTTGTGCAATAGTCATATGTCCTCTCAAATTTGCTTTTGTATCCATAGCAAATTTGAACTAATTTAGCTTGATACCAGTATTACAGCTTTCTTTAAAATAAATTGCCTTTTCATTTGATAACCAAGGGAGACAGGCCAATAAAAGGATTTCCAAGATGGCAGTGGAGTTCTGTCTGTCTGTGTGTGCACGTACCTTTATAGCATGTGTGAGTATGTGGGTTTGTGTATGTGTGTGGGGTGTGTGTGTGCACATGTGTTCTGCAAGATACCATCACAATTTTTGTGGCTTCTTTCTGGGGAAATTAACAAGTAAAGAGAATCTTGACTTCTGATCTTTTTTTTTTTCACTCAATGTATAAGGTGAATAAAAAACAAAAGATGGAAAGTAAATGAGAAAATGATGAAAAAATGTTTATGCACAGAAATATTTTCTTTATGGATAAGAGGTAAAGTTAGAGAGCTAGCTTTCAAGCCTTTTAGAAAATATAGCAGACAAAACTTGGTGTGCAGTTGATAACAAAATACCTTTTACTTTTATGGCATAACAGACAGTTTTAAAAATATTCACAAGTCTTCTTGATTATACAACATAGAATATAGCAGTGAAATATTTATCTAATACATAAGCACCTTCATATGTTAATTTTTTTCTCCAGTTTTATCGCCCATGTGTATTGCTACCAAAAAAAACTAAAACTACAAAACAATCTAGTTTATATGGATTACATTATTAAAATTTTGTGCTATTAGGAAGGATTAAATTAAATCTTTGTTGTTTTTATAAACATTAAAATGCTTTCTTAGTTGTTTTTATAATACTAATTTATAAAACACATATTTGAGACTAAGAAAACTTCAAATGATGATTATTAATAAGTCACCATGCACTGAACACAATTTTTCTTTTCACTCGGTATGTTGAAAATATTAATTATGCCATCACATGATAGTTTGCTGGAATTTAGGGAGAAAGCAAATGCATTTATTAAATCAATACTATTTTTAGGCTGTTGATGTCATTTTACAGTGGATTAAATATATAATACTCAGTGTCTTAATTGATTTGTCTGGCTTCTATCTCTGGTGACTTGAACATTCTACTTGCCATTTGCACTCCTTTGCTGATCCATGCATATTTTAATATCAGTCAGAATAAATAAATAAGAAGGTAAAGCGTCCTATAATGCGACGGCACAAATACAGCCAAGGCGAAGGGCTTGTTACAAGTAGATTTTCAGGGTCAGTCCCTTAAGAGTCCAATACAATGGGTCTGGGGTGGTGTTGCTTGAACTGCATTTTTCAAGCATTCACTTGATTCTTATGATATGGGCAAAAACTAGGAAAAAAGGGGCCAGCCGAATGGCTCAGTTGGTTAAGAGCTCGCTCAAGAGTTTGAGCCCTGTGTAACAGTGGTTCAATTCCTGGCCCGAGCTGAGCTGCTGCTTAGCTGCCAACAGGTGGCAGGATGGCTCAGCCAAAACAAACAAACAAACAAACAAACAAAACTGGGAAAATACTGATTCAAAATTATCATGGACACATATTAATGACTTTTGCATTATTGTTGCTTTGAGCCATCCATACCACTCTACATCCACTAACACAGACACTGAACTAGCTACATATGCTATTTGAACTGAATCTATCTTTAAAATGAAAAGTACCTGCTTCTTTCCAAAAAAAAAAAATTAGTAGTTTACTCAATTCTTACTTTATTTTTTTTGTGGTCATTCAAAGTATACAATACATTAAATCAAATAACTTATTTTTATTTTCTTATATATTAGTGTTCAGGTTAACTATGTTTCTATTTTCTGTTTGCAGGGTACAAGTTGAATTCTATATGAATGAAAACACATTTAAAGAGAGATTGAAATTATTTTTTATTAAAAACCAGAGATCAAGTAAGTCTTTCATTTTACTCCTCTGTCTATATATGTTCTATGTGTTTGCATGCATGTTTCCCTCAAAAGACTCCAGCTGTGCAATCCTTTTGCAACATTTTCATTTATGTAGAAGAACAGAATTGATAATATTGTTCTCCAGGCAGCAAGATTTTAGACAATGATAGATGTTACATCTGGTGGTGTTAAGGCTTCTTGAATACCTTTATTTCTCCAAGTTCCATGCCAATAATTAGACTTCTGAGTGGCCACTGGGATAAGAAGAAACACTGAGGACAATAATTTAATGAGGTGCCCATATATTAACTGGGAGGGGCACCTAAAGCGTAATATGAGAAAGTTCTAGTGATTCTGACTGACCTGTACAGGGAATAATTGTCTGACTTCGTGGGGAAGAGTTCAGTGTTTTCTGATGGTGCCTATGAACAAGAAACATCCAGGGTGTTCTGAAATGTACGGATTGCTAGTACCGTTCTCTGGCGATTCTGAATCAGGGTGTGTAGGGCTAAGCTCACAGTTTAACATTCCCGTGACCCTTACCATCAGACAACTCTGGGAAATGCTGGAACTTCAAGAGGACATGAAATGGACAGTCACTGACCTTCTAAGCCTGTTCAAGGTTGATGTGTCCGCCTCCCCATAATGCCATGTGTTGTTAAAAGCCATGTATAATGCGGCAATATGCAAGTTTTCATGATATTGCTTAAAATGCCAACACAGAGTAGAGAGGTCTGTAATAGATTAGTGTAGACTTTGCTTTTTCTGAATTTTGACCCCTGAATCCTCTTGGGGTGATCTTAAGTTGTGCTTCTGTTGGGTTCAAAGAGAAACACCTGAGTTGTGAGAAATTATCCAAATACTGACTCTAGGTGATATTTCAATATTCAAGGCACGCTTTTTGGAGACTCTTAAAGGTAGGTTAGCTTCAAGGTCAAGGCTAAAATAACTAATGCCTCTCTAAACCTGGTTGTTAAGAATTTCCGACAAGCCCCACCCACAGATGTCACCTGAAGGTACCACAGCATCTGAACAGGCCTGCTTGATTTTTAATACTCACAGTCCTGTCTCTCTCCAGTCCAGGAAAGATAAATGCATTATTGGACTATTTCACCAGCAGCCAGCTTTGACTAAGCAGCCACTGGGGAGACAAATTCTATAAAACCAGGACAATTTCATTAATAATTTAAACATCTTTAGAAAGAAGCTAACCCATAAAATGTGTTCCTAGCATGGTAATAGAATGGCCTAGGAAAATTTGCACAATTAATAATCATTAGCCTTTTACTGTTAAAAAATGTCATCTCAAGTACACGCACCTGTAGCAGAGGAAAAAAAATGATGTTTTATTTCCAGATTTTATTAAGTAATAATTACAGGGAGGCCCTTCTCAAAATTGTATTCATAATGGATGAATCAAATACTACCTGATGAATGCAGAAAAGGTAATGCTTCTATTAATCAGACTTTAATCTTGTTTTGCTTTATCTTAATTGTTCTTCATAATCACTGTATAACTGTGACCTACGCAGTTCTGAAGGTACATGGCAGCCTTAATTTCCAGAAAATATTTAAGTTTATTGGCATTTAACCTAAAATGAAAAGTAAGGGTCAACTGTTCAAAATAAAATGTGTGTATATGTATATGTGTGTATTTCTCAGCATATGCTATTATGATGTATCTGTAATTATATAATTACTAATTTAAAGTATAATACATAATTATATACATGATTGTACTGCCTCTATAATTAAATCTACAAGGTATTCTGAAGGTACAAGATTTATAACTTATCCTGTTAATATGTAAGCAGCTAGATTTTCTGGCTAGCTAAGATTTAGCTCCAAGTTCATGGATATTTAAAATACTTAAAGTTATAGGCATATCTGAACCAATTTTGATTAGACATGTTTTTTGTGGCTTGTTATTTGCAGTCCATGAATTCTGTCAATCTCATTTTTTGTTTCAATATTCAGCTAATTAAAATTCAGCTACCTAGACCTTCAGAGAGTTAGACAATTACGGTATTACAGTTTCTAAATACAATGTAACTGCTGTACTTAAAGTTGATATTTTTGACAATTCTTTTTAGTTTTTTGTGAACTAAGTTCAAATGAAAATCAAATGTCTGTTGTTTGTTTAAAGGTCTAAGAATACGTCTGTTCAATTTTTCTCTCAAATTATTAAGCTGCTTTTTATACATAATCCGAGTCCTGCTAGAAAGCCCTTCACAAGGAAATGAATGGTAAGGTATTTTTGTCTGACCCTCAACAATACTCTTTGATTACTTTGAATTGTATTATAATTTTAAAGATTGTTACATAGAATTAAATTTTTTCCAAGGACATTTTAGGTGTTTGCTGCAATTAAATTCATCTGCCTTTCAGGTAATACGTGAATATAATCCTTTTAGCTTCTTTTTAAACATCTCTTCTTATATTCTTTATCAATTCCCCTAAGGCTAATACTGGATACCTACCCATACAGTTTTTATTGCTAATCAAAATACTCTAAGTCATTGCTTAATATGAGTCAGTCTCTTTAAACACCCAATAACTTTCTGTTATTTACTTAGTTCCCCAAAAAAGGCTTACTCTACTGTACACCAGCTTTGAAAGTATTTTCAGTTGCACTCTATTGGGTAATCTTGAATAGAAACACCCCAACATTTATTGGGATGCATGACTGTGTCAGATCTCAGAGCTTGATCGTGTAGGTCTTTATGTTCTTTGAGTTAAACGACTTATCGATTTGACTGATTTTTTTGCTCATTAACATGTTGCTTGTATTAAATTGCATTGCTGTGTGTTTATGATCTTTGTTTTAGTCTCTGTTCTTGGCTAGAGGCAGTAGGGTAGGGGACTGGGTGTGCAGTGTTGTGAATCATTTCTTATCTCATCATCACCCTGGGCCCCTGTCCAGCCTATGACATTTAAAATAATTTCAAAGCAGAAAACACATTTCATGGCTAACTTCTGTACAAGTATTTTTCCATGTGGAGGTCTGCCCTAAGGAAATTCAAAAAATAAAAAAGATCAAAATAAAATGAGGCAAGTGGGGACGCGACAGGCATTTCAATGAGCTGGTTACTCTTCCCCCACCCATTTTGCTGCAGTCACACTGGCCTCTTCTCTGTTCCCGGATCCTAACCAGACACACGGCTGGCTCGGGGCCTTCACACCTACCCTTCCCTCTGGAATTCTCTTCCAACCAGACAGCATACGGCACACTTCCTCAGATCTTTCCTCAAAATCCTATTTTCGGTAAAGCCTTACCTAAACATCCTGTTTAAAATTGGAATCTCCTCACAAGACTCTCCTGAATACTTTTTTTTTCTTTTCCCTTTTAATTTTCTATTGCCTTTCTCTCTTTTACATATTACACTGATTTCACTTGTTTGTTTTGTGTATTCCACGTCGGTTGCATTGGCTTTTCCATGGGGGCATCGACTGTCGAAATCCTCAGAGCCTGGCACACACACCGGGCACTCAGTAGTTATTCATTAAATGAATGAGTGACTCAGTGAGTAAATGAAGGCGCTTTATAACCTGACTGTGGCTGACCTTACCTCCAGCCATGCTGACCTCCATGGGACAGGGCACACAGACTGCTCTCCACTGTCTCTAAGCCACTGAACGCTCTGCTCCCGTCTGGAACCTCTGTCTCCCACCTCTGCCCCTCATTACCCATGTTTGTTTGTTTTTTTAACTAGCTTTAGGACTCCTGGGACTTCAGGATAACAATTTCTGGGATAACAGTTAATCTGAAGTTCTTACCTGATGTCATGACCTATAGCCCAGTTCCACTCTGGGTTGGGGGTGGGTTCTGGGTATTCTGGGAGCACCCCCTGAATACTTCTGTCACAACACTTAATGTGTTGGTGATGATTTTACTACAATTCACCCTTGAACAACACAGAGCCCAGAGGCACTGACCCCCGCCTCTGCATAGTCCATGTATAACTTTTGGCTCCCCCCAAATGTAACTACTAACAGGCTACTGCTGACTGAAAGACTTACCGATGACATCAATAGCCGATTAACACATACTTTTTTATGCTCTATGTATTTTATACTGTATTCTGACAATAAACTAAGCTAAAGAAAATGTTACTAAGGAAATTATAAGGAAGAGAAAATACATTTCCAGTATTCATTGAGAAAAAAATGCATGTGTAGTAAATGGCCTCGCACAGTTCAGAGTGTTGGTCCAGGGTCCACTGTGATGATTGCTCTGTTCTCTCTGTACCTCCCCAAGGGCAAGGGCCATGTGACATCTGCCTCTAGCTCCCAGGCTTAGCACAGGACTCAGTGGAGCACAGAATGTTCCCGAATTCATGGGCTTATGCCCAACAGTACTCTCGATAGCAGTGCCCCCTCAAGATGATTGACCGCCAACCTACACATGTCTGTGTATATTCCCTTTACTACATTTTTGGCTTCTGTGCTATAAAAAATGGTTCACATTACAAATCCTTCTAAAAACAGACCAGAATTGTTATTAAAACTTGGAGATTAATCAATAACATATACATTCAAGACACCTGAAGATCATATACTGAGGTGATGAGAGATTCCTTCGAAGGGTAAAAGGGCATTGGTGGGTGACAGCAGAGTGAAATTGTGTTATTTAAAAACATTAAGAGGAACAAAGTTTCCTATAATTAACTTCTATGCCATATTACTAAGAATATTCAGCATAATTATAGAGGATATACATTTGGAAAATCAGATTACCGCAATTAGCCAACAACCAAAATAACTCATGGCTCCATTTTGAATACAATGTCCTGTTTAGTTCCCATTGTGCATGCGGTCGTGGTTAATGAAAAACAGAAGTGGCTTTGATGGGCACAGCCTCTATTTTAAAATAATGAGGCTAATTCAGCAAGGACCTTTATTTAATTATAGCTTCTGACATAACAAAGCTGCAGATATTTTGTGCTGCTTTGCTTTATTTTTAAGTCCCTCCAGGAGTCAAAAGTGTTATGAAAATGTTGCAAATTTGGAGAGATTGAAGGCTATGAAAGGAATTTTATTGTTAATGTATGAAATGGCGCAAATGACAAACTCAGCTGTACACACAGTTTGTAGTAAGTGATTTCGGGGCATTGGCAAAGGGAACTACACCTGCAGCCTGTAGTTTATGAATTTCATTAAGAGATGAACCATCAGTGTTTACTCATGCTTCCTGGTGCTTAGTTCTCCACCACGTGTCAAAACTCATGCATTCTTTTCCACTGTAAAACTGTGGCGTGATTACTAGTTATTCAAATCAAGTGATAGACACACAAATATGCTTATATTTTGCGATATGTGGGTTTGCATTTAAAATCAGTGTCTAACATAGCAACACGTGCATTCAGGTGACATACAGATTTTAAAGATTATTTCTTCTTTAGTGTAGCAACTATCAAAAGAAGAAATAAAAGTTTGACAATATCTTTTAAATGTTTGCTGACCAACAGCACTGAGTGTTACCATGTAAACCTTTGCTTCTATCATGTATGTTGGTCACAGTAGAGATTAAAGGAGCACCCAACAAACAACAAGTGCTGGAAGGTTGTGGGGAACAGGGAACCCTTATGCACTGTTGTTGGGAGTGCAAATTGGTGTAGCCGCTATGGAAAACAGTATGGAAGTTCCTCCAAAAATTAAAAATAGAGCTACCTATGACCCTGCAATTCCACTCCTGGGTATTTAGCCAAAGAAATCTAAAACAGTAATTTGAAAAAAATATATGCACCCCTATATTTACAGAAGCGCTATTCACAATAGCCAAGGAATGGAAACAACCAAAACGCACATCAATAGATGATTGGATAAAGAAATTGTGGTACATTTATAAAACAGAGAATTACTCGGCCATAGAAAAGAATGATATCTTACCATTTGCAACATGGATGGACCTAGAGAATATCATGTTAAGGGAAATAAGTCAGACTGAGAAAGACAAATACCATATGATCTCACTTATATGTGGAATCTAAAGAACTGAATAAATGAGAAATGTAAACAGAAATAGGCTGAGAGACACAGAGGAAAAACTGATGGTTGCTAGACGGGAGGGGAGTGGAGGTGGGGGAGAAGGTGAGGGGATTAGAAAGTACACATTGGTCACAATATAGTGACAGGGATATGAAATACAGTATGGGGAATATAATATATAATGTTGTAAAGATTATGTAGGGTGTCAGGTGGTCACTGGACTTATCAGGAGGATCATGTCATAGACGGTGTAGATGTCTGACCACTGAGCTGTACACCTGAAGCTGAAGCTGAATAATACTGAATGTCAGCTATAATTTTATATATATATATATATATATATATATATATATATANAGCTATAATTTTATATATATATATATATATATATATATATATATATATATATATATATATAGTCACAGGATGTGGAGTATAATATAGGGAATAGAGTCAATGGAATTGTAACAGCTATAGACGATGTCAGAGGGGGAGTAGTTTGGGGGGGTTATGATTTTGTGAGGGGTATAACTGTCTAAGTATTCTGTTGTTTCGTATACCTGCAACTAATAAAAGAATATTTATGTAAAGAAAGCAGTACCAAGCTCTTTTACATATAATCTCAAAAATTCAAAATAATATTTTTGTTTACCAGTCTAATGCTTATGTTCCTAGTTTTCTAGGCCTTTTCTCCATATAGTGATTCACACACACACACACACATACACGCTATAACTTGGCAACTACAATATTATATATGCAAGCCACTTTCATTTTGTGGCAATGCGTTGGCCTAAGACTTAAAAATCCTTTGCAGTCAGCTTTCAGAAAGGTGCAGAGAGCATACAGAAGAGACACATGCTTAAAATTACTGGCCAACAGATGTCGCATCACTTCTCCTTGTATTCCATACTCAGATGTCATGTGAGCATCAGTTCATCTGCACACCTTAACACAAAGGTGAGACATGTCGCTTTTGGCTGAAGAGTGTTTGCACTTAACTCTACACTGGAAGGGGAGAGTGATGGTGCACAGAAAGCCTCTCTGCCTCAGCCAACCTATGTCTGATGGAAAGACCCTCAAAGTCCATCATCCCAAACAGCACCCTGTCAGTTGCTTGTCTAGCTTAGTATGAAGTATGCCCAGTGTTTTGAAAGGATTCAGTTATTGAAACATCTTCTTAACCTACTGTCAAAAGTCCACTGTGCTTTGGTATCCTCGTCACCTGTGTTTTGGACACATACTCAGCGTGGTGTTTCCTTGAAATAAGAGCCCAGCACCACACCTGGTACCCAGTTCTCAGTATTTGCTATGGTTAGGAGAGTTTGATAACTTACACCCCTGGTTAGGATATTACACTTTTTTTAATACAATACAAGCTTACGTTGGTTTTTGTTTGTTTTGGAGAGCTATCAATCTGAGTTTATCTTGAGTTTGAGACTCAAAAGGTCCCTCCCCATGAATTCTACCCTACATGCTGACCCTATTACTTCCACGTGTTTACCAAATATTTTATTCTTCTGGTTGACATACTCACCCGCTGACCTCCACCTCAGTTGCCAAAGCTGATTCCACATTTTCAGCAGCTATTTTCTCAGCTGGAGCAGAGGCCATATATGAGTGTGTTGTTAAAAGTGGCTAAGGCTACAAGTCATTAACTTCCCATATTTTATTTCTGCTGTGATTCTCGTTTGTTACGGCTCTTCTAGTTCTCATAATGCTTCAAACATGAGTTCTATCTATCGTCCTAGTTTAATTCAGAATAATTGAATGATAAAAATTTTGTTTTTATGTTTGTTTTTGTTCTTTTGCTTTTTTATAATTCAAAAACGTGAAATTTATTCTTTTATTACTTCGTAAATGGTTTATGATTATTACAATATAGATACATATGGCAAGAACAAAGAAGTAAAAATTACCTAAAATCTCAACACCTATAGAAAAGTGCTTTCTGAGGACCAGTCTTTTGTAAATTCTCCCTCTCTATGCACACATACATATAACACATTCATACTGATATAGACAGGACAATATTACATACACTGGTTTTATCAAGGTATGTAGTATTGTTCTATCTACACACATTTTATCTTTTTTCTCGCATATGGTATTTTTGCTGTGTGGATGAGGCTGTTTCATTTCTTTTGTTGTTAGATATTCGGGTAGATTCCAGTTACTTTCCTGATATAAATAATGCTGCAATAAATATCCATGTAAGGTTTTCTTTCCTCCTAGTGCTTTTTGTCAATGGATTTGAAGCTTCATTTGCAATTACGGTCTGGCTTCCAGTTCCCCTCTTGTCATTATCTAGGAATGCGCAAATCAGGGCCCATATCCTTTTTTCCATGATAAATCCATTTTATGAAGGACAGTTTGGGCACTAGCTTTTTATTACAATTTGTATGTTTTCCTTCCATGTATTTATCCAATTTAGTGCTTAGTAAATGGGTGAAAAAGGGGACTTTGCATTGGAGATCTCACTTCACACTGAAATTTATATATTTGAGATTTGTAGAAATGTTTTTAAGGGTTATGAAACCTATTCCACATCACATAGCCTTGTTCAAAAAAAAAATCTTCAGGATGGCTCAGCTATAATAAAAAAAAATTTTTCTCCGTGGTCTTATTTAAATTTAAATACTCTGATATTTCAAGAACTCTGAAAACAACAACCCAGACCACAGAAAATACCTTTCCTTTGATATAACTTGCTCTTAGTAAATCCATGAGGTAAAAATGAGCAATTTCTCTCTGAAAGTGCTGACAAACTTATTTTTAGCAATTAATTGATAAATGTTGCACATATTGCCACGCTCTTTACTATTTGGTAGTTTTTGTGGTACACCACTTTTCTATCTACAAAGTCTGTATGTATCCCTGTAACCCTTACATACCTGCTTTTGGTCTGATTTCCCCAATGTCTCCGAGACTAGGGGGGCGCTTTGCAAAGGGAAGTGGTGCTGAGCTCATCGCCATGTTTCTGCCTTTCCCAGTATCTTCCATTTGCTTATATTGACGCCTAGCCTACTAGCCCCCTGTGCTCAGAAACACATTTGGATTACAGTGGTGAGTCAAACAGACACACTATTTCATTGCATGGAACCTGCAGTTTAGTGAAGAGACATCTAGTAAATAAATACATTTGCAAATAAATATAAAGGTACAACCAAGATGAGTGGCAGGAGAGGTACAGTGAGTGGCATCCCCTCAGAGGCAGTTGACTGCTTGACCAAGTGGAAGTCTCAGAGGAGGTTTCCCGGGTGGAGGGGTGAGCTGAGAGCTGTAGGCTGAGGTAAGAACGTGGGCAAGGGGCTCTGATGGGAGGGGCCTGTCACAGGTGAGTCTAGGAATGGTATGTTAAGAGTTTCCATCTTTACCTGAAAAGTGCAATGTCGATACACAATGTGAGCAAAAATGAGTTTAGAAAGAACTGGTGTAGTTGTAATTTGGAGGAATAATGTAGAAGGCAGAAGGAAGTACAGGGTCCTATTTGGAAGTCTTTTGCAAAAGTCCCCAAAATGCGGAAAATGGCAGTTTCCATAAAGGTGGTTGTTGAGAAGAAGAGAGGTAGATAAATTCTACAGAGATTCGAAAAGCTCTGGGGACTCGCGCATCACGCATTTCAAATACAGAAGAGAAAAATACCTGAGATGATGCCCAAGTTCGGGGGTAACCAAACAGTGGAATTTGGGCCATTTGCTGAGATGTGAAAAACTAACAGGACCAGTTTTTCGGGGTCACCTGTTTGGTTTGGAGCGATTGAAGATGTTTAATTACTCAGGTAGATGTGACACAGTGAAATTACAGGTAATTTCTTTGAATAGTCCTTTAAAATAATTTTTTTTAAAACAAGAATTTTAAAGAGTTTATGGCTGCTTGTTATTGTATAACATATTACCAAAAAGAAAATGACTTATAAAGATTTAAAAATACACTTCCTATTTTATGGGAGGGGCCTCATATTTCATAACTCTAAAGAGTGAGTGGGTTTTGCTCTGTGTTGCTTTTTTTGTGTGTGTGTTCTTATTTTCATTTCCTGGGCAGTATAATATAGCTATTGTACTCTTTTCCCAAATAGGGTATATTTCTGTGAATGCCTCCCATTTGAATCAACTGCACATCAAATAACATAGATATGGGTAGGGTATAAAAAGTGAAAAATTATAACTAGTGGGGCACTAGGAGTGTTTTAATGTTCTTTGCAGACAATTTGTAACATCAAAGGTGAAATGACTGTTACGAGATATTTAGGGACAGTGGCTCCTTGTCCTGCATAATGCTCTACGCTAAGCTTTTTGTGGTATGTTAAACACTTGATAAAAATCCAAATCTGAAATGCTAATGTGCCTTGTAATCTGAGTTACTGACTTGAGTTGGATGATTTATACTGTTGCATTTGTACTGCCGAAATATTAACAGGTTTAAAATTAACAAAATCTTAGATTTACAGAAGACCCTTAAATGATTTTTCAGCGGAGAATGTGACGAGTGAAGGGTCTGAGGTTTTTCTACCCTGACACAGTCACTCTTTAGATAGGGCTCATTATCTGTTCTTTCATTATTAACACGAGACTGAACTGAGTATTAGCAAAAAGAAGACTAAAGCCATATGAAGGTTTTCTAGTTTTAATTTTGATATGTTATTGTCTTGCCATGTTAGCATTATTGAAATATTTCCAGCTTCAATCAGAATTTAGAAACGAATGCATTTCCCGCATTTTCAAAAACTAACCACTTCTTATTCTTTTCCCAGGTCTCATATCATTTGGGTGAACAGAAGTCTACCTTTATGGGGCCTCCAGGTTACGTACAATTTTGTTTTGTTCCTGTATTTTTTGATTTATTCATATTCCCCAGAGAAATACTATTGGAGGGAAACTGTTGATCTTAACAATGTTTGTCTTATTGTTTAATTAATCTTAACGCATATCTTAGACTAACACTTCTGTTCCTTTCTTCGCGTTTGCCTGAGCCCTGCTTTCTATCTCTGGAGAATTTCCTTGTCATCAGGATTTATCCTGCAGAGAGCTTTTGAGGGTGCAGCGAAAACTCCTGTTTTCAGGCGCTGCAAGTTCCCTCCCCGGCGTTAGGCATTCCTGTTATACAACCCTTGAAAAATTAATCAAAAGCCCATATCCAGGTTGCTTTTTTACCTATGTCCTCAAGGTCTGGAACATGTTAGAATCTGAATAACTAATCCTTAAATGAATAAATGAATGAATGGCTGGGATTACCAATAGCAAGAGCTTGCTCCCTGGGCGGATCATTTGTAAATAAAACAAACAGTCTGCCCTGGAGTAAGGAAGCCCTGAAGAAAGAGTAAGAAACAGGAGAGAGCATGTCTGAATTTCGTTGCTGATATGTCCCCAGGGCCCTCTGCTTCTTGTCCTTGTTCCTTTTCCTATTGAATTTCATGCCAGCAAACTAGTTACCAGCTCCCATCTCCTCGACTCCTGCCTCCCTCCTACAAATACTTGTTTATTTTCTGTTATTTTCAAAAGTGAAAATTATTCTAAGACAGTTACTAACAGAAAAAAAAGTTTAGAGGTTGACAAGGCTGAGTATGGAAGACCCTGAGCGACTCTACCATCACCGTCTACACACAACCTTTAAAAATACTTTGAAATCATGTGTTTGGTTTGCCTTTTAAAGTCGTGATGATGGTGAAGTCTGTACTTTTTATATATGATAATGAATCATTGCAATTATGTATGCATTGTGATCATGACTAGGAAATCAAGTTTTTAGTATGCCTGGATATTTCCTATTGTATTGAAGTCAAGCTGAGTTTTACATTATTTTACACTGACTTTCAGTGTAAGTCATTAATGCATAAATAGCCCTTTTCAAATATTTCAGTGCTCACTACATTGCAGTCTTTTAATCTCTGAGTTAGATTCCTGTAGTATCCTCCAGTGAGGTGCTCATTTAAAGTAAGTTAATATTTTTATGAACAGTCATTTATGGCCTTGAAATATAAGTTGATCTATTCTAACAGCTTTTATCTAACAGTGTTTTTATTTATTTATTTTTTAAAGAGGTTTTTATTGGGCAACGGCCACGGTCATTGGTTACACGTTGCTTTCATGCTACAGTGGCATCGTTGACTCTTTTAGGGAGGGCGCAGCTCCCAGTGGCCCATGCGGGGATCGAACTGGCAACCTTAGTGCTATCAGCACCACGCTCTAACCAACTGAGCTAACCGGTCACCCCTAACAGTGATATTTTTAAATAACAGTACTCATTTCCAAATAGGATTTTGAGTAGTTCATCCTAAAGATGTGTAGAGATCATCTAACAATAGGTATGTACCTCTAGGACAAAGCACAGTGATTAGGATTCACAGGACCTGTGAAGAAAATCTAAGACGTGTGGATTTTATGTCATGACGATTTTATATCATGGCTAGCTTATGCACTTTTGAATGTATTCTACTTATATTGCCATGCATTTATACGTTATTTGTTGCCTTCATGTTTTAAAATTCACTTAAGTCAAAGTTTTGGTTCCAACAGGAGTCAAAATGCAAAGCTCCAGGGTATCTGCCTCTCTCATGCAGATGGTCTTAAGCCTCTGATCTTAAGCCCCAAAGGTCTAGAACAAATGTAATGGTTATCTGAGTCATTCTTGTTTACGCTTGCTTGCTGTGATTCCATCCATCTCTCCTCAAGTGCTGAGAGGATTGAAAACAGAAATGTGGGTATCCTTCGTAGTTACTTCTTCTGTTGCAGTCGTAGCTTTTTGGTAGCTCAGCAGTGGATCTTGTACATGCAACAGAAAACACAGAGAAAGAGGGAAGCTTGTCTTGGAGGAGGCAGGCCTGGCCCTGCCAGGGGCAGGAGGCAAGCTGGTTATGAAGTTCACTCAAAATCTGAGAGCGCCTTGAAGTGCTGACATGGACCAGTTTGTTTAGTGTTCAAAAATGTGGCAGTTTCATTCTGTTTGAGGTGGGTGATAGGATGGGCCATGTCACTCAACTCGAAGCCCGTGTTCTTCTCTTTTCTGAAGGGGAATGCTGTTTTTGGTAAATGTACTGGAGATGGCGGTGGTGACGCTAGCCCAAGGGTTATTTCCGGTGGGGCAGTTCTGTGTGATTCCCTGTATTAGGAACACACACAAAAGGACCTGTTTTTTCCAGATCACACAAACTCTAGCCAGTCTGACTATTCTAATCCCACATTTCCATTTGCGATAATAAATAAGAAAAGATTGATTAAGGAGCATTAGAAATTGCAGAAGCTAAGCTGTAGTGCCAGATGGCCTGCAGCTTATCACCTGTATATAGAAGTGAAAGTGCCACATAACACCTCCTATGTCATATATGTCTATATCACATAAATACATATATATACATACCTATATGTGCATATATTTATAAATTTATTAACTTTTATAAATGATGACAATCATGAATATAATTATATATGTTATACATAATCTGTACTATTATGATGAATATATATTATTTTAAGCTTATTGCATTTTCTCATTAAGGTACAATTTATATTTTAGGTTTTAGTGGCCTTGATAAGTCTATTTGAAACAATCTTACTTGGTTATCTCAGTTACAAGGTAAGCTGTTTTCATTACATGTTTTCTGTGGATGGAACACATTACTCGTGTTTACTAGCATTTCTCTCATTGTAATTCATACTCTGGGGATAAAGCAAGTTCTTCTTAAACCACTTTAATTATTTTGGACCTCTCTAGTATGCGATAAAAAACGGTAGTAATATAGTAATGTTTTCCTTGGTGGCTTCAAAATACTTCACTAATTCCTATGGGTTAACTTATCCATTATATACATGTTTATATGAGCCAAACAAATGGAGTGGTCTGGCTTTTTATTGTTCTCACCCTCTTTGCCTGATCTGTACAAAAAACATGGAGGGAGCAAAAACGTGTCTATGAGGAGTCATTTTAATGAATTCTCGTAATTGTTGGCAGAGCTTTGTTTGGCTAACACAGTGTAACAAGTATTCGTTGAGCCTCTGTTTGATGAAGAGCTCCAAACTGTGCACTGTTCTTTTCTCAGTGACTTTACAATCTAGGAATGGGGCTAGACAGGAGCAAAAATGTATACAGATAATAACAGAAGGCAGAATAACAGGTTTCGGTGAGGTGCAAATAGAGTCCTATGGTGGGGGGATCAGAGAGGGCAGTCAGAGTTGAATGCCTGGGAACATGGCAGTAAAACTAAGAAAAATTGCAGCAAGGAAACAATTCAGATTGGGATTGACATAGATGGAAAAGTGGATGTGGTTGTGGAAATGATGAATTTGAGGTGACTGTGGATGCACAGGTAGACATGACACGTAGACAGTAGAGAATGAGTGTCTGGAAGTTGCCCGACAGAGAGATTTATTAGGCTCTGGCGGTCCCCATTCAAAGACGTGCTGAAGAAGCGTCCCTTCAGTATGGGTCATGACCTAGTGGGGACCCAGGGCTCCTGTTCATGGAGACGCTTATATTGTGGTTGATGGAAGAAAAACAGGCAACCAGGGGACACAGATACACGGAGAAGGGCAGGAAATCATCCGAATGGCTGTCACATCCATCACTCAGTCTCAGCTCACAGGTTCTGTGTGTGCAGTATCGACAACTATACTCAAGGTTATGTTTTTGGGGAACTCTTTGTCTAGCATATGAATTCCTTTCTTGCTTTTTTAAAACATAGAGTTTTGAAGATAACATTCCTTTGACCACTTTTTAATCTTAAATTTAGAGCAGTGTAATCCTAGATTAAGCCTTCCTGAGTGGAAAGCCTTTAAAACGACTGTAGGTGTTATTCAGTAGGGTCTGTACCTGGTTCCCAGGAAACAGGTACCTGGGCCTTAAAACCGGCATGATTGTGGCTTGTTGCCTCTCAGCACTCTTCCCTTTGCTCTGCTGTCTCCTCCTTATTAGAGGTTTTAGGCATGAGTTGAATATAGTCTGTGTCTAAGCCACGCTCTCTAACTGCTCATTTGAGCCCTCTCACTTAGCTTGAGGGGACGACAGCAGAACCACACACCTCTGACATCGGCCCGCAGACACGTTCTCATGGGTTCCATTTCTTCCCTCTGTCCCCTGCTCCACCCCTTCCTACACAGCTTGGAGATGGGTTATGAACCGTGCGAATGAAACCTATTGCTTAACAGTTTAGCACGGAGACAGTAGGCAGCCTAGAACCTTGCTTTGTGATGTGCAGGAGTTTGAGAGAGGCTTCGAGCCTTTGGGACCTCAAAGAACAATCCAGAAAGATCCCCAAGTCTATAGCCAGGGTTATAAAAATAATTGGAAATGACAGGGAGCCAGGTTTCAAATTGCTTTTTTCATTCGTGGCTCCTTTCGTAGAAGGTAAGCTGCTCTAGGGGGTTCTGAGTTTGTTTTCATTGGACACCTTTCAAAAAAGTTTCAGCGAAGAGCTATTAACTTCAGGGCTGACTTCGTGTGTATGTCGTTTGCGCAGTTGTACCGGGCTACACAGTTAGATGGGCCTGTGCTTGGCGTAATGTGCTGATGTCACCTCGAAACTGTTAACAATTCGGTAATAAGAAGCCCTGATAGAACTCTTAGTTCTATGCATTTTGATTTTCCCTGGGGCCCCATGAATTATGGAGCCAGTCCTGGTTAAAATTGTTTTACTATGTGGGTTGGGAGATTAGAATCTGGCTGATCGAAAAACCCCTTCCTTTATGTTTTAACGTAAAAACAAGGTTAATACCCATGAACATTGTTAACAAGTGGTGTGTTTAGGAACTATTTAATATGCTTTATGGCTTGTGAATATCATTAGTATAGTAAACATATTATGATTGAGTCACTTTTTCATGGATGCTGTGGGTTTTATTAATGCATTTTTACTGGTAACTTCTCTTCTAGGAAATAATATATGATGAAAATGTGTGTGCAATATTCACGGATTACTGTAACATTTGTTGAACTTACTACAAAATTAAAAGAGCGCGGTTACATTTACAAGAAATCTCTAAAAGTCATTGCTAATTCGGTATTCTGTTAATGAAAGCATCCCTATCGCTGGAGAATTCCTTATCCCTCATTAGCTGGATTGGCGTAACTGACTCATTTTTATTCATTCTTTCTTGGAAGGGAAACATCTGGGAGCAGATTTTACGAGTACCCTTCATCTTGGAAATAATTAATGCGGTTCCCTTCATCATCTCAGTAAGTCCTAAAAGAATCTTTAAAAAGTAGAATTTTGTCATTAGACTTAAGTCTTTAAATCTAAATACTAATAGATTATATATTAGATCAGCTAAATTAATTTAGGCTTTGGTTAGTTTAGAATCATGGTGTCAACAAATAAGTAGTAAAACCAGATGGATAACTGGATTGTAAAATTAAATGAAAACTAATGAGATTTAGTTTAAGAGCAAAATGAAACGCTTCTTAGAAACATATGCTCTAGAGGTGCCACTGAAACAAGTGTCAATATTGTCTAAACAGACTTGAAATTACTCCATTTCTTGTGTATACTGTGGAATTAAAAAAAAAATAGAAACCACGTCCAACCAAGTTATTTATAAAAGTTTCCCATACTGAGAATATATTAACCTCTAGTTTAATGACAGAATTTTCTAAGGCCATCTCTCTCTTTTATAAGAAAGTTGCCAACAGCCAGATAACCAGCAATTTTCTTCTTTCCCAATTCCATGAAGATCCTGCTCAACTGCACGCTCCCACTGAAATATTAGGTCTTAATCTGTATTTGATAGATTCATCATAATGTGTGTTGGGATTATGCTTTTGAACTGTTTAAGTTTTATTTGGAAAATTATGAAAATAAGTAGATAGCTGAAGTTGTTGCTCACTTCTGAGAACTATTCTGAGTGATTTATCTATGGGAACAACTGAAATTAGATTAAATGACTAACTAAATATCATTCCAATTAAACATGGTTCCCCAATGTCACTTAAAATGTTTGAATCCAAAGAGAGTGGCAATGTTATAAAAAGCAGAACTTTCTCTTCTTGCTGCTATTTCCCCCCTCTCATTGTAAGGAAGAAAGAGGCGATATTTATTATAAACTGTCACACTAAAAGATTTAATGATAGAATTAGCATAGTTCTATCTGACATCCAGTGAGAGCTTATTTTTTTTCTTTTTGCTTCTATAATAATTTCCCAAAGATTTTTTTCTCTAAGTAAGAATTAGACAGTGAATGAAAAGATCGTATCTGCTCCTTGCATTTTATTAATGAGTTTAAAGGATGTGTCACATGTCTTAAATCATTATATTGTCTCTCATAGCTTTTTATCTGTTTTACATTTCTTTTAAATCTGCTGGACATGATTTCCTGCTTTGAGATAAAAGTTTAGCTTTGACTTGTTTTTCAGATATTCTGGCCTTCCTTAAGGAATCTGTTTGTCCCAGTCTTTCTAAACTGCTGGCTTGCCAAACATGCCTTGGAAAATATGATTGTAAGTATAAAAGTGAAATACAAATACAAAAATAGTTTGTTTTTTTTTTAAACCTCTCATTACGTCTTACTTTCAGTCTTCTGGTTAAACAGAGAGAGATGACCTGAGGTCTTTGACGTGTACCTTTCCATTTCTGTTTTTGCCCATAAAATATGAACTCACTTGACTGGAATTTATTTAGTTCTAATTAAATATCTAAATGGTTCATTTCAAAACTTCTTTTCAATGAATTTAGTATCTTAGTAAATAGTTTTATTTAAATGTTTGTAAAAAAAAATGAAAGAGCTTTGGTAAAATGCTGTCAAATAATTGAAGTGATATGTTGTATGAATGCCTAAGCTAATGGACCTTAAGTGACCAGTCTTCCTGTATCCTAATTAGAATGAAAACTTGTAAAAAGTCCATATGGCCAAGTCACTACCTCTGGAAAGGCCTATGAAATGGTAAAACAAAAACGGTTCAGGTTTTCTAAATGTCACCACACCAAAGCTATGCGCTACTTGGTCCAACGAATGAGCCAATCTTCTGAAGACGAATTACCTTTCAAGGCAGCCTGTATGATAGGGCCCCTGGTTTTAAGGATTCGGGCAGTCAAGGTGTCAAACAGTTCACTGTTGGTAGTCTCATACTCCATTAAAAACCAGTGGGGCTTTGGAAGAGCCTCTGTTGAAGCTGGAAGCCCCGCCCTCACAGTCACCTTTTTAGATTAGTTTGGGTTGGGTTGTGAGTGGGACATTAAGAGGGACAAAGGGAATCAGGAAGTGAGAGATGCAGATTTCAGAGTGTGCAGTAGTTGCGTTTTGCTCAAGGCTCTCCCTGTTTGGAAGGACTGATTTATACCTCTGACGAAATCCGTTTCCTGTAGGCTTCAATCCTTATCGATGAGCTGTAAGACATTCACTATCTAGTCATTCCTTCTCCAAATGTTGATATGAGTCCACGGTATGCTAAGCACTGCTAGGATAGTCACGTGATTTCACTTCTTTGCCAATTTCTTCATCTTCACACGAGAACACAAGTACCTACCTAACAGGCTTGTTATGAGATCAAAATTATAAATACATATATAAATTTGCATGTGTGTGCGTATATATATACATATATATATGTATATATATATATATATATATATCAATATAGGAAAGGCTCAATCTTATTAATTTTACTACACTGAAATTAGATTTTTGCAGAGGCAAACTTGTTTTCCTCTGAAATGGCTTTTAAACAGAAATCATGACAAATGCTTTGGCCAGAAGGAGTATTTGGATAACATTTGAGAGTTCATAACCAGATGAATGTTTCTAAACATTTGTGTTAAGTGACTACTGGAGTCTCATGAAACTACATGTCAAACGGAGGGAGAATGTGGCCCATGCAGCGGTTTATAGAAACATTGGGCTGTCTTAACTGTTTAAAAAAACAAAAAACAAAACTATGTCATGAAATAAAGATTGCCTAAATTGCCAATGAAAAATAAATGCACCAGAAAAAAACAAAGCTCTTTATTAAACTGTGTTATTAGTTGGAAAAAATAACCTAACAGGAGAGGAATTGTCAGTGGCTTTGCAATATTAATGTAGGATTCCCTCATTTTCCATTGCACTTCTGTTTTTTGCTTCTCCTCCCTCACTGGTTGCTAAATTTTTATTCATGTTTCTGCTCATTAACACCTCTGCCAATAGAAAGTAAGCGTTGAGAGGTGAAATTCTAATCAACTTCATTTTTTGTTTTCATAATAGTCCTGGTTAGAAGTATGGTGGAAGAAGATAAAATGATGGCTTATTGGGATTTTATATTAGTGAAGTTATCTCATTCTATACTGATTTTAAGACTATTAAAAGTTTATTATAAAAAATTTGAGATAAACCAAAAACTAGGAAGTACAAAGTTGTGAAAATCTACATATCTACCACACAGAATACTAGTAATAATTTATATCCTTCTAATATTTTCTAAGCAAAACATGCTCAATCATACATTAAATTATATTGTACGTTCAATTTTACAACTTGAATTTCTTATCATATACTCGTGTGTAGTGGACAAGATTCTATGTCATTAAATATTCCTTTTCAAATCATTTTTAGTGGCTATATCTGAATCCATTACACAGTTTTGATCAATTTAACCATTTTTGTATTGCATATTTTAGTTATTTTAATAGTAATGAACATTTATTAGTTCATTTAATTAATTTTGTAATAAAGATGAACATAAATACATATTGATTTCCAACTCTGCTTTTCATGTAATTTTTAGAAACTGTTATTGAGTTAAATGAATGAATAAATGCATGAAATAGAGAGAACATACTTGTAATTTCTGACTTATGTTACCAAACTACCTTCAAGAAATTTATAACAAATTACATGAACAGTATCATATGTGAATGCTCATTTTTTTTTGCCTCTTAACACTGGGTATTATTATTTTTTTAATGGCTTTGAATTGTAAAGAAGAAAGTATATCTTGAATTCATATTTCTTTTAATATTAATGAAATTAAACTTAAAAAAATTGTTCATTGGCTATTCAAATTTTTTTTTTTTATAAATTGCCTGGCATAATTTTACGTGATTTTTCCTGATTCACAGAATAAGACTTGATAGTAGTTTGAGCCAGCTGTTACTTTGCCCTGAGTTGAATATATTATTTTCTGATTCTTTTAGAATTAGAATTTTCCACAAGACCTTATGCCTTCCCTGGAAAGCTTTTGGGGAGTCAGTCTCTACAGATGTTTGTAAAGCGAGTAAACTGAAATTGAGTGCTTTGGTGGTCTTTTTCCATAGCAGTATCTGTGTAATATGCTGTAGTAAAGGTCATTTTTAACTAAACGAAAGTGAAAATATGCTGCTATATTCATTTTAAGTCTATGGATTGAGCATGAACAAGACAGTTGAAATATCACGCATAGTAATAAATGCAATGATTCATGAATATTGAATGTTGATCAAAATTTAAAATATGCTTTTCTGTATTATTTTAGAATGATCTCCATAGAGCCATTCAGCGTACCCAGTCTGCAATGTTTAATCAAGTTCTGATTTTAATATCTACATTACTATGCCTTATCTTCACCTGGTAAGACTGCACATATCAGCATTGCTATTATGTTTCATCGAACTGTAGTTTCTCAAAAAACTGCATTATAGACCGTTTCAGTTAATAGATAAAGATCAATCTGTGAATTAATGAAAGTTAACCAGTGTTCATTATAAACTGGAATGGATCACCTACAGAACTAAAAATAAAACCCCCTCTTCGGTCTTACAGAAAAAAAAAAAAACAAGAGGGCACATCTATCATTTGGTATTGATGATATTTACTGCAACTATGGCTGTAAACAACCGAATCCCAAGAATGTAGCCTGCATGGCCTAGTTGTCAAACAAGAATTTGTCCTTCAAATCGCTGACATGGAGGCGCCCTTGTCTTTCGAGTCCTCCAAGCAGAAATGCTGATGAGAAAACTGTCAGGGCCCATCCTGTCCCTGCCACTGTCCTCCCTCCAGGATGCACTGGAGGGTAGTCAGGCATAACGCAAGGGTGCCCCTTCCCCCGCAACCCGCCAGGGCAAGGCCAGCCCTGGTGCTTCGCTTTGTACAAAAAGAGTGATTTCCTCTTTCGGAAGAGTCCCACTTTGACAGCTCAAAAGTAAACCAGTGTGAATGGTGCCCTGCCCATATGGATTCATGCAGATCTTAAGTAGAGAAAAGAGTGTGAACATGAAAAAACGAGGTAGAATAATGTATCTGTTTGTCCGAGTCTGAGGTCATATGTGTAACTGGGCTCTGTCCAGGGTTTGATGGAATAAGAAAGATAAAAAGTGAATTAGGAAGCACTAAAACAAGGATTCTCTCATATGCCAGTACGACGGAACCAGGTGTGTTAGCTCTAGATATGTGTGAACACAGTCATGTGTAACTTCAGGACACCTGACAAACGCACACTTAGGTGACTTTGTCATTGTGCAAAAGTCATCGGGTGCACTTACATAAACCCACATGGTCCAGCAAGCTACTAAAATTGTATGTGCTGCACTTTTACACTACTGGGAGCGCAGTAGGTCTGTTTATACCAGCATCACCGCACACCAGGTAATGCCCTGTGCTACATTAGGACGGCCACGGTGTCTCTTGGTGGTAGGAATGCTTCAGTTCCATTATCATCTTTTGGGACCCTGTCTACACGTGTTCTGTCATTGTTCAAAGTATCCTCATATGACACATGGTTGGATACATTGAGACACAGAGGTGTGACAACCAGTTTGCATCAGTAGTATGTGGTTAGTAACTTTGTTAAATGGATTTAAGTGTTTTATTGCATACTTTTGTATTTAAAAAATAAACATTTGGGGATAAAGTTTTTATAAATATAAAATATCCCTCTAAAATTGCTCCAATGCCATCTTATTAAGATTTTTTTACACTTCACAAATTGATTTTATTGTTCAGCTAGCAAACATCTAAGCGCATAAATAAGAAAGACTGACAGTAATGACTTCCCTTTTAAAGTCACTAAAAATTCTTAATTTTTAGGTAGTGATGTTATTTGAATAATTTAGTTTTCCTCATTTGACGTAAGGGCAAATATTTAAAAATTTCATATATGTATGCACATGCCAATATTTCAATCGCTGGAAAATTACAAAAAGTGAAGGATTTGTAAATGTTACAGAAGTCAGCTCAACTAGATTTAGAAAACAGGTAATTGCAATGTTAATGCTAAAATAAGGGTATATTATTTTTATATGGTGACAGTTGAGTACTTTTGTTCAGGAGGCATCCTCAGGACAATAAATCATCTATACTGGGCTCTCTCTTTGCTCTTAATTTCTGCCTTGAGTAGTTTTTACTTTCGATGGAAGCAACTAGATACATTTTGCAACTTACGTCAAGATGTGCAATAGTGCTTAAGAGTGTTAATGATCCACATGAAATTTCCATTATGTCATTTATGCCTTATTGAAATTATTCATGTTTTACTGTTTATTTTACATGCATTTATAGTTGCTTTTGTTATTGTGTGTATATGTGTTTCAATTTTACACAACGGAGTGGTAGTTTTGACAGATACTATCTAATGTTACAGCTGTCACGAATATAGGGATATGAACCTGTATTTTAATGTGCTATCATTTTATAGAGCTATGTTTCACTACATACAGTGTTGTTTTTAATCACATGCACATTAATACATTTACATAAAATGTTTTAAAATTATAGTATCTAGAATAGAGAAGCTGAAGTTTAGTGTCTCTCTGCATTCTTGTGTAGCATAACAAGTCAAGTGTCTTCATAAATCATGATCATCATAGTAAAGTAGAATAAGTCTTACTTGAATTTATCATGAATAATGCAGTTATCTGTATAAAAAATATAAACTGTTATATTAGTTGCATCCTACAGGCTGTTTTAACAGAGTTTCACCACACACACTATAAAATACAAATGTACACAAAGATATAGCAACTTAAACTGATAGAAATGTCTAGGAAGTCTGTCCAAGGCTGTTACATCCGCTTAATCCTGGTGGACACTACGGCTCCTTATATCTTGTTTTTTGCCATTCGCAAAACATGGTTTCTATCTCACGGTTCAGGATGGCTGCTCTTGTCTTGCTGTCACATCCTAACTCTAGCCTTTAGGAAGAAGGAAAGGCATAACCCAGAAATTACATGCATAATTCAGGCCAGAATTTGGTCATATGTCCACACATGGCTGAAACGGGCCCTGCAAAAAAAGTAGCGTAGCTGAGCAACGATATACCCAAGCTGAGTATTGTACTATCATGGAAAAGAGAAAAACTTGATACTGTGGAAAAATAATCAATCTCTAGCACTGAGAAGTCACAAACATCCATACGTATTTCATTTGTTTAAAGCTCAGGGCTATACTAGTTTGGACCCCTTGGGCAAGTTACTTAACTTATCTAGCCATATTTTCCACATCATTAATGTTACTATTATGAGGATAATAGTAATCACCCTATAAGATTTCTCTGTGTCTTTTTTTTTAAATGAAGATCAAATTAGTTTATAAAATGTCTAGCAGAGCTCATGGCAAATGGTATAAACACTGGAAAATTTTAATTTTTTTCCACTTTACATGTCTTATTTATATAAGATGATTAAATTATCACAGGAATCCACAAAAACTAATTCACTCCCAAATACCTAAGCATAGGAACTTAATAATACTATAAAACTGGAGCAGTATGCCTGAAATATATTTACTAGCAAATATGAGAAAACATCTTCCTGCAATGTAATACATTCATGTTTTCTGTACTTCCTACATATTTTTAATATTTGTTTCTCCTAGTTAGCCTCACTAAGTTAAAGATAATAGCAGTCTCTTGCTCTCCATTGAACACTTTTACTTTTATGAACACAGCATTGCAACATGCCCACGGCTCCAATCTCTGTTTGGCTAGGGCAGTTTCTTTGTTTAAACTTGGAATAAAATGGGAATTGGAAGCAGGGACACGGTAAATAGGGGAAGGGTTTTAGCAGACTGCTTTTCTTTTTCTTTTTCTTTTTTTTTAAAGGTTTTATTAGGGAATTGGGGAATTGGAGAATTGGGGGAGGGGAACAGACAAGTTGCTGTCCTTTTGTTCCTCAGTCTAGTTGTGGAGGACGTGGCTTCACTGGCCCATATTGGTATTATCATTGCGCTCTTCCTGGATGAGGCAGATCAATTGCTGACCTCTGGACGGCCGCTCACGCTGGCTGCCGGCCACTCACAGTAGCTCATGGCAACCCACTGCAGCAGGGGCTGCAGCCTACACCGTCGCCTGCGACTCACGGTAGCCCAGCTCCAGGTCAAGCAGTTGTTCACCATCTTAGCTGTAGAGGGTGCAGTGTCACTGGCTCTCATGTGGGGTCCGAACTGGGGCCCTGTTGCTCAGAGCTGGAGTCCCAAGCCAGTTCTTAAGCAACGCGCCACTCGGCCGGCCCGCAGACTGCTTTTTAAATACAGGAGTAAAAACTATATTTTAGACTATTTAGAAGTATTTCTCCTATGAAGAAAGTTTTTTTTTTGCCTACTCTCTGAATATTGAACCATATATCATGTCAGAAATTACCATAATTTTTTCTACCAGATCTATAAAAGAAGGATATCTCAGACAAAAATACTTATATATATGTGTGTATATTTTGTCTGTATGTATATATGTGTATAATCTCAATGTAAAATATATACATGTATGTAAAATATATATATGTACATATGTGTGTGTATATATACACATATATGTATATATATTTGTGTGTACATATATTTTACATTGTGGTGAGTTTAGTCTTAATTAATTGCTGTTCTATCATAGAACACACGTATCAATGCTTTTCAAAATCAGAGTTTTTAATATGTGCATTATAATTTAAGGGCCAAAAGATTCAGACACTAATATTTGATGCATCGGCTGTGCTGTTTATGAATCTCACAATCTTCAAATTACCTGCCTTGGGAAGCTGCTACGTAGGTTTAAAATATGTCTTCTCTTCATTCTAAATATTACAAAGAACTATCATTAAGCATCTGTCTACAAGAGACACATGCTCTGTGCCAAACTGAAATAGAAATGAAGCTGCTGACCCGCTCTGTAGAGAATGTGCTCAGCATTGTTCTTCCTGTCATTGTCATGGAATTGGACTCATCTGCCCACACGTCTGCTGTGTGCCCATCTTGGTTAATAACACAGACTTCCCAGGCAGCTGGCACTGGGGATGCAGCCTTCAGGAACAAAACCAAAATGCGGGCACATCAGGGAATCCAGTGCATGCCTTTAGCTTAAGCATTGACATAATCTGACCAACAATAAGTCCTTGACTACATAATGCAACTGGTTTTCTAATTGTACACTCACAGACTGATTTTGCACTAGTTTGTTGCAAAGTTTAGTTTTTTATTTGAATATGTATGTTTACATATTTTCATATTATTTTATAGCGTTATAACCAAGAGCTATATGAAGTTAGTGGATATTTCATGTTTAGTCAAATGTAAAACTGAGATTCAGTTCAAATCTCAGTCTTCTTTCAGGAGAAAATAAGTTCATTTATTTATTGTTTTTAAAA